TAATTGTAATGTATATATATATATATATTTTTTCCAAGTTTAGAAGTTGGAAAAAATCAGGATTCGCGAAGATTCTAACCAGTTTTCGATCCGGCTGACCTGTATTCTTATTAGGTCGATATCTCTACCATCGTTTGATGTTGTTATTTCTGTAGTAAGACATATCAATAAACTTATTTTGAGTTTAGTTATATAATAAAGGAAGTTGGACACGCATTGCATATAAAATTCACATGATCTTTCTCGAATTTATATACTAATAAAATAAATAAATAAATAAACCACACCCTTATATATAATTACAGTATGTTTCTTTTCTTCTTAACCTATCCTTAATGCTGGATAAGGTCTATTTATCAGTGTACTGTACATGTAAAATATGTAATTTCTTGTAACCCCACCTTGTAACGATCAAAAATGATCTTATAAATTGCATATTTCCTGATTGTAGAAAGGGGAAAAATGTTTTGTATTTATTTATTTATATATATAATGACTTGAAGGATATAAAAACTACTTACTACATAACATTTGAAGTAAAGAAAATAAATTTTAATGCTTTACTAAGCTAAATTGATAATAAAATATAGGAATTTTGAAATATATTTTATCATTTTTTTTGCAAATTCATGATATTATAAACACTTTGTTTAAATGTTTTTCATATACTTTAATGTCTGTATGTAAAATCATTTTAGAAACTGTTATTAATTAATATTAATATCAATGATGAGTCTTTAATTGAGATAAAGTCATTCATATAGCAACTGAATAAACACCTTTTTTTTTTTTTAATTTATTATATACATAGTTAAATTATTTATAATTGATTAAAATCAGTTTAATAGATATAAAACAAAGTGTCAGAAGCCAAAAAAAAACCTAGTATTTCTTTCATAAATAAACTATTAAAACAAATTAATTGTTTAATTTTAGAATATTAATTATAAAAATAATTATGCAGTAGTCAGTAAAGCACACTTTAGAAATAAAAGTTGAAGGTTTTCAACTAAGTAGATCAATATCATGCCAGTCTGCTCTTGTCCAAGCTATCACCAACTGTATCTCAAGGTCTTACAAAATTTCAAATAAATTTTTTTTAAATTACTTTATCAAAAAATGTAAAATTATAGAATGTAGTATATCATAAAACTATTATCTTTTAAGGCAAATAACTTTTCTGGCAACTGTATGTAACTAAATTCAATTAGTAAGTTATACTACAGTTACTTTATGTAACTGTAGATGTATAGAACAGGAATTTAATCTTATATAATTAGTTAAAACAACTTGAAAATAAAGAGAAATTCTTAGAATCATACTGATTAGACCTAAATTAAAGCTAGGTCAAGTTTTTCCCCTTAGAGAATACTTAACATCAAGTCACAATTGTTCAATACTTTTCAAGTAAGTTAAACAATATAAACTATCATAAATAATCTGCAACAAAGAATCAAGGTTTGACATGTGAATGAACATTTAATTAAATCTCTAACATCTATAAAATTAAATAGATAAGTTAATTTAATAAAACTGCTTTCAAATTAACAAAATAGGTCAGAATATAATAACAGTTAATATTTAAAAAATATAATTTGTTATTTTTTATATATTTATTTGCATGATTAATAACAATAAATTATAATTTAATCATATTTAATGACATGTTTGAAAAAATTATATACCCATATGGTACTGTATAAATTATCAATGCTTTAAAAAAAAAACTTGTTGACCTTCTACTATAAAAATTCTTACAGGTTAAGTAGTTCTAAACAAACATTGTGATTTATATACATATTGATATATAGAAATTTATATATAAAATAATAAATAAATAGAATATTCTTAATTAAATTATGTCAAGATGAAGTTTGCATAGTTGTGTTAAGTTTTAATGTATTTAAATGATTTTTTGGGGGTTATAAAATTATGCCAAACTTCAAATAAAACTGGCCAGGTTGTGTTTTACATTTTAAATTCATTTATAAATTGATATTTCTTAAAACATTTTAATAAAATTAGCATATAAGACAAGAAAATCAAAGGTCAAGAATGAAGATTTGATAATTGTTTAATGGTAAGTGCTCATTTATAATTGGAAGTTTAATTTTTATACTGTGTTCTCCATTGATGCTCTCACTCCTGGTTTTAAGCCCTGGATTTATAAGCATAATTATTCATTTTATAACTATAATCACATCATTTTCTAGTTTTATATAAATAAAACTGTCATTTAGACCTTAGAAACAATATAAAATAATTTAGAACAGATGCCAAATGTAACATCCAGATAATTTTTTACATATGATTTTTTAACATCAAAATGTCCAGCGTATGTTAATTTTAATATATGATCGCTCAAGCATTATATCAATTAATGCAATTAAAACTTTAAGAAAAAAAAAATATATATATATTAATCGTCTTTCACACATAGTTAAATAACTTAAAACCATGTAAACCAATTGTTCTGTCATCATCAATATAAAATTTATAGAGCGTTTCTATTTTAAAAATCAATGCTAGAAAATTACTTTAAATCAAAAATTTTAGAAATTCAATTTGTTATGCAAATTAAAGTGAATAATTTTTTAAGTTTAAATATATTAGAATCTTACCTATTGGCTAATTCTTCTGTGGCTCCTTCGAACAATTCTCGAACTCTTTCCAAGCTAACAGCTCTAGGATATGTCATTGTAAATCTTTGATGTCTGGCTACAGCAGGGTGCAAACTCGGATTGACAACCCTGCCTTAAATATACAAATAATAGGCTAAATTAATTTCTTCTTAATGATTTTCTCTTATCTTAAACTAATCTACCGTTTGAGTCAAAAAAATAATATCTATTTATACATAAATTAACAGCGTGTTTTGCTATCAACACTTAACTTGATTAACTTAAGTACAATAATTACTATTAATTAATTATAATTAACCACAGTTTTTCAATTAAAAAACACGTTGTAAAACGTTTGCTAATTTAAACGTTTACTCGATTAATTATTTCATAAACTGTCTCAAAATAGTTACATGACTTTAAAAAAAATGGCAGCCTTATGACAAGATAACGAGCAATAGAAAGAACAGGAGAAAAAAAATCGAAAACACGGGTTTTTTTTATGTTTAAACTTGTCTATTTTTTTTTTTTTGTTTCTTCGTTGATCATTAACTTATCATGTACCATCACAGACCAGCAGATACAGTGACCGATTGCAATACAAGTAAACATAACAAATGAATTGTAGCATCGTTAATTAGTCGTATCTGCATAGAGTTTGTTTCTTAATTACCCTTATCCTTTTTTAAAGAAAAGATCAACAACCGAATAGGACAAAAGTAGATAGGATATTTTTCCTTACCTTGCGTTGTTAGAGTTTTCTCATGCTGTCTCTTGTGAAGAATTTTCTGTTTCGCTCTAATAAAAGCCCTATTCATCGCCGTCCGGGATATGAAGGGTACAGTATTTGAATCGAAATTATAGAAACTGGATGTAAATTGTGCATCCACATTGACGTAATTAAGTAAGGTTAATAGAAAACACAAGGGAAATATCACCCATCTAAAAAAATGAAATTTATAGAAATGGCAAGAGGATGATCAAGGTCGGGATCAATCAGATAGAAATTTTATCCATCTTGTGTTACTCACCTGAAGATCTTACTATCGGGTGATTTCATATTTTATCCATATATCCGCACAATACTTGTAAATGGTAATGTGAGCATTTGTAAATGAGGTTAGATGCTTATATAGTCGGTTAACGGTAAAGGGATGTGGGCAGACATTTTTGATACAACACACAAGGCGATTGGTTAACGGTACCGTTTCTGCGATTGCGTGAACTACTTTTGGTGGCTGTATTAAACGTTTTGCTGTATCACTTCCCTCTTCATGCACTTACATGATAATCACTCATCTGTAACTGAAGAAAAGTACAAAATCTTCAGATTGAAAAAATAATAATGGCGACCCCGAGGGAAGTTTTCAAGGTTCGATGTGTTCAATACGATTTTATTTTAAAAAAATAATTATAAAACATTAATGCAGTTACTTACATTTTGAGCGTGGGTATAAACTAATTATTACCAATTTATTCAATGGCGCGTAATAGATTAAGGTGGGCCCCCCAAACAAACTTAAATTAGGGGGCTCATATTCTCTTCGAGAGAATTTTTGGGGGAATCTTCCAATATTTTTTAACACAATCTTTGCTGGGTTAAATCCTGCGTTATCAGATATGGCCCAAATTTATATTTCGATATTCTTTATTACAATAATGAATTTATAAGAGATTGGTTTGGGGCCTCCTGTTGGTGAAGGCCAATAGGATAATGAATTTACTTTTAAATTAACTTAAATACGTTTTTCTTTATTAATAAAAAAGCAAAAAAATTGTAAATTTCTCACACTATTCACTACATTTTTACACTAAAACGGTCTACGTAATACACTAAAATAAACACCTTTTGTCTTATTATGTTAAGGTAACGCCTACTTACCTCAATAATTTAATTACAATAAATAATACTATTTACTTCTTATAGAAACAATCAGAAAAAAAAAAACAGTAATTGTGATGAATTTAACACACAGGACTTAATTATTCTATTCCTTTCACATAATATATTAATACGCTCGAAGTTTATGCCTTTCTACGATTAATTTTTATATAGGCCTATTACACAATAGTTTTTAAATAGTATTAATAACAGAAAAATGGTTAAATTATACAGATTTTATATATTTTACTTCGAATTATTTATGTAAATTAATATATAAAAATAAAACNCTTCATATATAAATTTTTTTTTCTATAGTTTATTTGCGTTTTTCATATAGGAAAATGGGATTTTATTTCACTTGCCAGCTAAAATACCTCTTGAAGTAAATATATCCAGATGAATTATGTACATGCTATGCATATATATATATATATAAATAAATTAACATTTTTATAAACAATTTTTCTTCTTCTTTATTATAAAATACGCGATCGATGTAATGATATATAAGACATATCGAGCTGAACTTTATTAAAAATATAAATTTTTTTTGTATTTTTGGTATCAGGAATGTAAACGGTTCAGCTGGAAATGCCTCATATATACGTATATATTAATAGTCTTTAGCTTCGCTGAGGTATTGATGACATCTTGGCTTATGATACACTGGCACTCTTTAAAAAATTCTGTATTAAAAATGGTAAATAATTATCTCATAAGAAGATTTTAATATAAAGAAAATTGATATTACAATTACCTATTCAACTTCTTCCGTCCATGGAGACAAATCGATATCAAGATAATGGTCGCAGGGTAAAACAGGGTTGCTGTTTAAATTATAAATAGAAAATTTATTAAATAATTTAAAAATATGCTTAAATTTAAATTTAAAGAGAAAAACTTACTAGAACGATGGAAAACTGAATGCATATTTTTGAATTTCGTAAACAGCTGTGTTGGCACAAATGATTTTGGCTAGAGTTGTTTTACGAATTTCAGCCAATTGACCTAAAAATAGTTGACATATAAGCTGATAATTAAATAAATTTGATAAAATTAACTCTATTTATAGTTTTATACCGGGTGTAAACGATCCAGATTGTCCGTAATGTTCAAAATAAAATCTGTCGCCGTACTTTAGATGATAAAATTGTATGCCAACGATGCAAGCGAATGTGGGCCCTATTACTCCACCTTTAACATGATATTCGGCAGTTCCTCCGGAGAAAAAATCGATATCTTCCACTGATCTGAAAATGAACGAATTAAACTATTAGTAAAATGTCAATTATTTTACAAAAAAAATCATAAAAATTAAAGTAGAATGCAAGTAAAGAAATTTTAAGTATTTATTAAGTAAGTAAAATTTTGACACGCATGAAACACGAAATTATAAAAATGGAGGGCAGTGAACTGATATAATTTAATAATTTAAATAAATAACAAGAAGAAAACTTACTCATAAACATCTTGGAAATCCATCCAGGATTTCTCGGGCATTAGTTTGCCTAGATCAGAAAACTTTTCGATAGTTATACCATGACACCTATGCACGAAAGCAGTATAACCCGGTAAACCGTGATCTCTTCCTCTTTGTATATTGAAAGCTGCTAAATCTAAACCCGTATCGTTTCCTCTTCTTCGATATAAATAATTACGAACGTCGTCGACTAAATGAGTATCGAATCTTTGCCCGGGTTGTTTGACCAATCCTCTCATTAAAGGATCCATTTGACCGTTATAAATTTCGAAAGGATAGAAGAAGAAATCTCTCAAGAGAAAACCGGGATAATCCGGATCGTAATGTGGAGAAATTTCCCTAAATAGTCCATCTATCATAGAATGACCGAATCTATAAGCTGCCGTCGAAAATTCAGTCATTAATGTCGGTTCGACTTGTTTTTGATACTCTGTATATCCTTTTTCTAACACCCATAAACTGTAATAATCCATATTTTCACTGCCTAAAGTTATAGGCAAAAATTCGCCCCAGGTTATCATCTGCACCTGAGCACTGATGATCCTCCTGTATACATAGAAAAAAAGAAGATATATTAAGAACCTGTTATAAATGATCCTTTAAAATAGTCATTAAAGACCTTCTTAATTAATTAAGCTACACTCGTCGTGACTAATGGATTTTAAATATAAATTACATACCTAGTTTCAAAGTATAACTTATCATCCGACCAAAGAGGGTTTTCGAATTTTAGTTTGCTGGCTATTCTATTGTGTTGTCGCATAAATATTGTGTGTAAACTGGTTAAAGCCGGATGCTGGTTAACTCTTTGGTCTCCTAATAAATTACGTAAGGTTATATTAATAAATTTAATAATATTTAACGTTTAAAAGTGAAGATTAATACCCGCTCTGAAGCAGTATCTTCCTTCGTCGGGCATACTGCATTGATCGTTTGGATCTTCACTAGCTGGAAGAAGATCTCCAGCATGTTCTGTGTCCTGAACCCGAAGTCTACCTAATAAAAATAAAAATATATATTTAAAATATGATATATCTGAAACATTATTAATGAAATACATATAAAATGCTCTCATTTTAGTTCAAAATATTTAGTGAAAAAAGTATTTAGTGTATTTAAACCATCAGTCCCTTCGGCAATTGGCTCCAAATTGTTTTTTATTGTATTCTAGTTTATAAAAAAAGTAAAATTGGAATGCACACTTTTATTTATCAGGGAAGAAGAGGAGTTAAAAGATGTCATTAACAACTAAAATTTACCATTAAAAATACGTAAAAACTGCTTATAGCAAATAATACTGTATGTTTAATTAAACAGTGATTTATATATTAATTTATTCTAATAAATTTAAATATATTACAGATATATCGAATGTCTTGGCTACAAGAACGTTACAAAATATTAGTGTGTTTCCCCTAAATAATCCCTAAAATTTAATAAATACAATATAAGCATTCATATCCGAAGCGAGATTCTCATAAAAACATAGCTTTTGTGTTCCTAGTTCAGTAGTGTATTGTTCCTAGTTTGTCATATTGTAGAGGTTCTTATGTCTTGCTAACAATACTTTATTCGTTTTTGAACACTAAACTATTCAGGACAATAATTGAGGAAATTCCGAACTATTCCAATGCAGATTATCAGATTTACATTAGTAGTATAGAATTAAGAAATAAAAGCATTAAAATACATTAACTTCCTTCATTAAATTCAGATTTTCTTCTTTGTATCAAAGAAAAATTAAATGATTGAAAAATCATTTACTTTTTCACGAAAACAGTGAAGATAAAAGAAATATTTTTTATAGAATTCGTGACGCTATGAATAGAATTTAATAAGAAATAAAATAAAATACATTCATCCTAGTTTGCCTGAAATCCTCCCTCCTATTTTACATAACCTATAATTTCTTCAAAATAGCCTTTTTTTTTTTTTATTTGCTAAGTAAACATACGAAATTATATTGTTTGTTGCAGTTTAAATTTCAGATTGTTATCCAAAACGAATCAGTGCGTGAAAGCTAATTCAATTACAATCTAAAAATGTTTATTTGAATACAAGAATAAACTTTTTTACACATTTAATAGTAATTAGTTTCAAAATATTAAGAATTTTTATCATTCATTCAAATAACTACTATTTTCTAAATTATATATACGTATAGGGTGGCCTAAAAGTCAGTTAACTGTTGTAATAACTTATAAACCAGTTGTAAATCATAACTAAAAACTTCTCTTTGTTATGAATTTAATACATAGAAATAATGTATTATTTTTAATCAGTTTTATGATTAAAATCTATAATGAAATGCTCGAAAGGATTTCTTTTCTATTAAATTATTAATTCAATATCTTCCTATTCGATAAATTTTTATAATTTTAATTTACTTTCTTGCAAACAGACCGTAAAATTACTACTTTCTACTAGGAAGTATGATTATTAAACATATATAAGTGAGTACGTAATTTATTTTTCTTTTAAATTACGATAGTTTAATATGTAAATGACTTACCAACGCCATCGAAAGCTCTTAATGATCTCGATGTGTTTACATCGTTGCCGTAGACCATAGAAGCATCGTGGAAAGTTGTCACTTGATTCGTTTGCTGACGAGGACCTTAAAGAATTATATACTCTTATGTATCAATTAAATATTTTAGTAATTAACGTACAACTACGTACAGTAAAGCACGTTCTACGTGCTCGATGGATGTTTTAATGTTTCAAGTTTATAATGTTTTAACTTAGTTTTCGATCTTAACATTTTAATGATGGTATTAAAACATACTGAACCCATACAACTCACATATACAGATATATTCTTACCTAAAACACAAAGAGCGCACATAGCAGAACGTACAAAATTCAAACAGGTTCTACCGAAATGAGAATAAAATGGATCATCTTCCGGAACGATAATAGGATAGCATTGATCATAATTTTGTTGGTCTGGCGGGCAGCATTGAATCATAGCGTTGTCAGCTATGTTAAAAAGAAGAAGAAGAAGGAAACGTTTTAAACATTGTAATCAAATAACGAGCTTTCTAGAGCTAGCTACTTACTGGATCTGCTAATTGGTGTTAATGTAATGTCGTGATCTACAAACTGTCCCCAAACCATGAACATGTGAGTAAAGATATGAGAGGGAACATTAGCATTTCTGTGAATTAGTATAGAAAGCACTCGAGCTGGTGGTAAAGGACGTCCAGAAACTGCTATCCTAGGAGCAGAAATACCTAAAATGGCAACATTGAAAGGTTAAGATGGATAATAATAGCGAGGTTGCGGCCGAAGTTTTCATTTCTTAAACGTGAACGTCGAACGTCGAGTTCCGCTATCTTGTAAGCTGCGCCCGACGTTCGACGTTCACGTTTCAGAGATGGAAACGTCGGCCGCAACCTCTCTATTTAATGAAAACAACTTGAATATTGAAGCTTACTATCTGCATAAGCGGGAGGAAGAAGTCTTTGAAAGCACGTAAACGTTTTTCCCCACGTAGGATGTTCTAAATTATTACAGCTTCCATCAAAGGATCTATATTTGTCTTCCTCGCATTGGACGTCATATTGAGAACTACACTGTTGTGCCGCTTCCTGAGCTTCTCTACCCACTAATGGTATCTTTGGCAATCCATAAATAATTTGTTTCCTAGATAAATGATAACTGAAAAGACAAAACACTATTATAAAAACTTTAAATATTTCAAACTTGTAAAACTGACATTGACCCGAAAACATAGATTCTGATAGTAATAAAAAGAGAATTTATCCTGTTTATCTAGGTACAGTACTTGTATAGGTTGATTTATTTCTATAAACGTCTCTCGGTAGCATAAATCATAACTAATAACTACTTTTATACCTTTATTCATCATTTCTGGACATTTATATAACGTATGATAAACGTTATTTAATACTTTCGGAACTAACAACAAGAATTTTCACTTTTCTAACTTGCAGTACAAGTAACTTTATGCTTGGTTGTGTATTTTCTTTAAAACCACACTTGGTTTTTTTCTTAAAAAGTCGTTTTAACTTAAATCAATTAAATTTAATTGCTTTAACAATTTAAAAAAACTAGAAACTTTTCGTTGTTTTATTATAAAAACGAGCACTCGGTGAGAAAAATCATACTCCTGTGTAAATTTATATGGTTCTCATGACTTTCGGTTGATCTCTTCTACCTTTTTATATTACTTTTCGCTCTGTTTCGTAGACAATGTGTGAATTTTAAGAAGTTTCCACTTTAAAAGTTTTAAAAGTGATATATTTTTTTTTGTTTTTTTAAATTTAATCGTTTAAAAATATTTACAAATATACAATTTTAAGTTAGCATTGTGTTTGTTTGCTTCATTCCCTATTTATTTTTCTAATAGAGAGATTGCGGCCGAAGTTTTCATCTCTAAAACGTGAACGTCGAACGTCGAGCGCTGCTTACAAGATAGCGGCTTGACGTTCGACGTTCACGTTTAAGAGATGAAAACTTCAATTGCAAACGTCGTTACTATTCAGTCATCTTAGAATAAGAATAAAACATTTTTAAATGTTTTTTTTTAAAAATATTACAATAAAATTTATCTAAATCTCTAAACGTGACAGGCAAATCGTAGTGGTAAAAGTTCATTCTTAAAACGATACATTTTACTGTAAAAAATAATAAATGAATATATTAATTATTTACTTTAAAAAATTCTCAAGTAATAACAGAAATGCATTTAGTAAAATGATATACAAATCGGTAACAGGAAAACAAATTTAAAAATCAATTAGTTTTTGTACATCGTGGTGCTTGTTTTAACCTTAAGCCACAAGGACAAATGTTTGAAAAGTTTGAAGATACAAATGTTTAATTTAAAAAGAATTAAGATTTAATTGCTTAAGTTCGAGTTTTTAAGGAGAAAACCATAAAGTAAAGTCATAAATAAAGCAATTAAAATATGTCTGATCTATAAGATCATTCAAGTTTAATGCCCCTTTAGGTATTCTGCTATGCATTTTTTTTTTCTTTCTTTCTTACATAAAAGATGAACAACTCGAAGCTTGCTCATTAATTTATACATAAAGCTTCTCTGTTATATTTTAGCACTTTTATTACATTTAAGTCTATTATATTTTACATTATAATGCATTTTACACCTTCATAAAGGTAAGAAGTAGGATTAAAAAGTAGTGGCTCGCTTCTCTGTTAAGAGCCATTAAAGCTAAGTTACTAAAACGAGTTCCACTATAAATAGAAGCTGTAAAAGATAAGAGTAAAAATGACAAAAATTAACGATTTTATAGCTAATTTTATCGTCCAGTCATTCATACCATTAATTTTTCTTCTTATTATGCAATCACCAGAGTCTAAACAGTTCTGGTAATTTGTATAATAATTGTAATGTATATATATATATATATTTTTTCCAAGTTTAGAAGTTGGAAAAAATCAGGATTCGCGAAGATTCTAACCAGTTTTCGATCCGGCTGACCTGTATTCTTATTAGGTCGATATCTCTACCATCGTTTGATGTTGTTATTTCTGTAGTAAGACATATCAATAAACTTATTTTGAGTTTAGTTATATAATAAAGGAAGTTGGACACGCATTGCATATAAAATTCACATGATCTTTCTCGAATTTATATACTAATAAAATAAATAAATAAATAAACCACACCCTTATATATAATTACAGTATGTTTCTTTTCTTCTTAACCTATCCTTAATGCTGGATAAGGTCTATTTATCAGTGTACTGTACATGTAAAATATGTAATTTCTTGTAACCCCACCTTGTAACGATCAAAAATGATCTTATAAATTGCATATTTCCTGATTGTAGAAAGGGGAAAAATGTTTTGTATTTATTTATTTATATATATAATGACTTGAAGGATATAAAAACTACTTACTACATAACATTTGAAGTAAAGAAAATAAATTTTAATGCTTTACTAAGCTAAATTGATAATAAAATATAGGAATTTTGAAATATATTTTATCATTTTTTTTGCAAATTCATGATATTATAAACACTTTGTTTAAATGTTTTTCATATACTTTAATGTCTGTATGTAAAATCATTTTAGAAACTGTTATTAATTAATATTAATATCAATGATGAGTCTTTAATTGAGATAAAGTCATTCATATAGCAACTGAATAAACACCTTTTTTTTTTTTTAATTTATTATATACATAGTTAAATTATTTATAATTGATTAAAATCAGTTTAATAGATATAAAACAAAGTGTCAGAAGCCAAAAAAAAACCTAGTATTTCTTTCATAAATAAACTATTAAAACAAATTAATTGTTTAATTTTAGAATATTAATTATAAAAATAATTATGCAGTAGTCAGTAAAGCACACTTTAGAAATAAAAGTTGAAGGTTTTCAACTAAGTAGATCAATATCATGCCAGTCTGCTCTTGTCCAAGCTATCACCAACTGTATCTCAAGGTCTTACAAAATTTCAAATAAATTTTTTTTAAATTACTTTATCAAAAAATGTAAAATTATAGAATGTAGTATATCATAAAACTATTATCTTTTAAGGCAAATAACTTTTCTGGCAACTGTATGTAACTAAATTCAATTAGTAAGTTATACTACAGTTACTTTATGTAACTGTAGATGTATAGAACAGGAATTTAATCTTATATAATTAGTTAAAACAACTTGAAAATAAAGAGAAATTCTTAGAATCATACTGATTAGACCTAAATTAAAGCTAGGTCAAGTTTTTCCCCTTAGAGAATACTTAACATCAAGTCACAATTGTTCAATACTTTTCAAGTAAGTTAAACAATATAAACTATCATAAATAATCTGCAACAAAGAATCAAGGTTTGACATGTGAATGAACATTTAATTAAATCTCTAACATCTATAAAATTAAATAGATAAGTTAATTTAATAAAACTGCTTTCAAATTAACAAAATAGGTCAGAATATAATAACAGTTAATATTTAAAAAATATAATTTGTTATTTTTTATATATTTATTTGCATGATTAATAACAATAAATTATAATTTAATCATATTTAATGACATGTTTGAAAAAATTATATACCCATATGGTACTGTATAAATTATCAATGCTTTAAAAAAAAAACTTGTTGACCTTCTACTATAAAAATTCTTACAGGTTAAGTAGTTCTAAACAAACATTGTGATTTATATACATATTGATATATAGAAATTTATATATAAAATAATAAATAAATAGAATATTCTTAATTAAATTATGTCAAGATGAAGTTTGCATAGTTGTGTTAAGTTTTAATGTATTTAAATGATTTTTTGGGGGTTATAAAATTATGCCAAACTTCAAATAAAACTGGCCAGGTTGTGTTTTACATTTTAAATTCATTTATAAATTGATATTTCTTAAAACATTTTAATAAAATTAGCATATAAGACAAGAAAATCAAAGGTCAAGAATGAAGATTTGATAATTGTTTAATGGTAAGTGCTCATTTATAATTGGAAGTTTAATTTTTATACTGTGTTCTCCATTGATGCTCTCACTCCTGGTTTTAAGCCCTGGATTTATAAGCATAATTATTCATTTTATAACTATAATCACATCATTTTCTAGTTTTATATAAATAAAACTGTCATTTAGACCTTAGAAACAATATAAAATAATTTAGAACAGATGCCAAATGTAACATCCAGATAATTTTTTACATATGATTTTTTAACATCAAAATGTCCAGCGTATGTTAATTTTAATATATGATCGCTCAAGCATTATATCAATTAATGCAATTAAAACTTTAAGAAAAAAAAAATATATATATATTAATCGTCTTTCACACATAGTTAAATAACTTAAAACCATGTAAACCAATTGTTCTGTCATCATCAATATAAAATTTATAGAGCGTTTCTATTTTAAAAATCAATGCTAGAAAATTACTTTAAATCAAAAATTTTAGAAATTCAATTTGTTATGCAAATTAAAGTGAATAATTTTTTAAGTTTAAATATATTAGAATCTTACCTATTGGCTAATTCTTCTGTGGCTCCTTCGAACAATTCTCGAACTCTTTCCAAGCTAACAGCTCTAGGATATGTCATTGTAAATCTTTGATGTCTGGCTACAGCAGGGTGCAAACTCGGATTGACAACCCTGCCTTAAATATACAAATAATAGGCTAAATTAATTTCTTCTTAATGATTTTCTCTTATCTTAAACTAATCTACCGTTTGAGTCAAAAAAAATAATATCTATTTATACATAAATTAACAGCGTGTTTTGCTATCAACACTTAACTTGATTAACTTAAGTACAATAATTACTATTAATTAATTATAATTAACCACAGTTTTTCAATTAAAAAACACGTTGTAAAACGTTTGCTAATTTAAACGTTTACTCGATTAATTATTTCATAAACTGTCTCAAAATAGTTACATGACTTTAAAAAAAATGGCAGCCTTATGACAAGATAACGAGCAATAGAAAGAACAGGAGAAAAAATCGAAAACACGGGTTTTTTTTATGTTTAAACTTGTCTATTTTTTTTTTTTGTTTCTTCGTTGATCATTAACTTATCATGTACCATCACAGACCAGCAGATACAGTGACCGATTGCAATACAAGTAAACATAACAAATGAATTGTAGCATCGTTAATTAGTCGTATCTGCATAGAGTTTGTTTCTTAATTACCCTTATCCTTTTTTAAAGAAAAGATCAACAACCGAATAGGACAAAAGTAGATAGGATATTTTTCCTTACCTTGCGTTGTTAGAGTTTTCTCATGCTGTCTCTTGTGAAGAATTTTCTGTTTCGCTCTAATAAAAGCCCTATTCATCGCCGTCCGGGATATGAAGGGTACAGTATTTGAATCGAAATTATAGAAACTGGATGTAAATTGTGCATCCACATTGACGTAATTAAGTAAGGTTAATAGAAAACACAAGGGAAATATCACCCATCTAAAAAAATGAAATTTATAGAAATGGCAAGAGGATGATCAAGGTCGGGATCAATCAGATAGAAATTTTATCCATCTTGTGTTACTCACCTGAAGATCTTACTATCGGGTGATTTCATATTTTATCCATATATCCGCACAATACTTGTAAATGGTAATGTGAGCATTTGTAAATGAGGTTAGATGCTTATATAGTCGGTTAACGGTAAAGGGATGTGGGCAGACATTTTTGATACAACACACAAGGCGATTGGTTAACGGTACCGTTTCTGCGATTGCGTGAACTACTTTTGGTGGCTGTATTAAACGTTTTGCTGTATCACTTCCCTCTTCATGCACTTACATGATAATCACTCATCTGTAACTGAAGAAAAGTACAAAATCTTCAGATTGAAAAAATAATAATGGCGACCCCGAGGGAATTTTTCAAGGTTCGATGTGTTCAATACGATTTTATTTAAAAAAATAATTATAAAACATTAATGCAGTTACTTACATTTTGAGCGTGGGTATAAACTAATTATTACCAATTTATTCAATGGCGCGTAATAGATTAAGGTGGGCCCCCCCAAACAAACTTAAATTAGGGGGCTCATATTCTCTTCGAGAGAATTTTTGGGGGAATCTTCCAATATTTTTAACACAATCTTTGCTGGGTTAAATCCTGCGTTATCAGATATGGCCCAAATTTATATTTCGATATTCTTTATTACAATAATGAATTTATAAGAGATTGGTTTGGGGCCTCCTGTTGGTGAAGGCCAATAGGATAATGAATTTACTTTTAAATTAACTTAAATACGTTTTTCTTTATTAATAAAAAAGCAAAAATTTGTAAATTTCTCACACTATTCACTACATTTTTACACTAAAACGGTCTACGTAATACACTAAAATAAACACCTTTTGTCTTATTATGTTAAGGTAACGCCTACTTACCTCAATAATTTAATTACAATAAATAATACTATTTACTTCTTATAGAAACAATCAGAAAAAAAAAAACAGTAATTGTGATGAATTTAACACACAGGACTTAATTATTCTATTCCTTTCACATAATATATTAATACGCTCGAAGTTTATGCCTTTCTACGATTAATTTTTATATAGGCCTATTACACAATAGTTTTTAAATAGTATTAATAACAGAAAAATGGTTAAATTATACAGATTTTATATATTTTACTTCGAATTATTTATGTAAATTAATATATAAAAATAAAACACTAGTAGCAACTATTCATTTGTACCAGAAACGAACACGTGTTCTTCTAGCGTTAATAAAAATGCTATAATTATAAATAATTTGGTAATTGAAAAGGTATCAGCATTTATTCGCTTCATTTTACTTCTTCTTATCTATATAAATGTATTTATTATAACAATTTTTTTTTTAAACGTTCGAGGTACATTTTGTGATAAATTTTTATGGTCTTATTATATCTGATATTACTATATAAGTTACTAAACAGTAATAATAACAATACAATAATTAAAATTTAAAGATAACTGAAAGGTATAGGCCTAAGTATTAATTGACATTTCTTATCATTGTGTTACAACAGTTCGAAGATTGTAGACCTTCTTCACTAACCTAATTGCTCCAGTGTGTAATTCTTATCTATATATAATTGAATAAAAGTTTAATAAACTGCTTATTTCTTGGAAAAAAATATCCAATAAATAACAATGTAATTCCCAATAAATTGTATTTAAAGACATTCACGCCAAATAGAAAATTCTGATTTATTTATTGTTTTATGAAGTAAATCCAGATTTGTTCTATTTACAGTTTAGAATTTTGAAAATTTTTTAATACAAAAACCAAAAAAAAAGTGTTGTTATTAATGTTATATATAATAAAAACTACGATTATTAAGATCTTGGCGCGTATATGACACGTAATTTCAACTGTGTTTTTCCTGTTAGATAAGCCTTTAAAAATAGTATAATTTTTATCTAAAATTACGGTGAATCTTCGGAATTTTTGGTATAGCAAGTGCGGATATATTTGTTTTTGTTTTTTGTTTTTTTAAAATATAAAACTTTATTTTATATTTTTTCAGCTTCAATAACTGCTGATTCAAATAATGGGTACATTGCACTGAAGATCTCTATATTTGTTAAACGAACATGAGCGTGTCTTGTAATCAGATATCGAAAATATAATGTGTAATTTACAAATCTTTCCGTTGTTTATGATGATATTGTCCCAATTAGGCTCTTTTCATAATATTAAAAACATTTTAACTAGCGCAAGAAGAATTTATAGCAGCGAGATTCTATTGAATGTGTGCCATATTCTAACGTAAGACTCAGTGGCGTGTTAGAGTTTCATGGGCCCAGGTGAATTTGAGTTAAGTACAGTGTTTGTTGAGTTTCTTGTACAGTGTTGACTTCAGACATTTTTCTTCGGGGAAGGTTTTAGAAGAAAGATTTTATTGTTTAGGACCCCGTATTGGTGGAGGCCCCCCTTTTTGTTCATAGGTTAATGCGCCACAAACAAGACTGTTAAGGTAAAGGATTCTATACAGTTAAACACTAAATTTGGCATGGATATTCTTCGAAAAATACTCTGGTGGTTCCCCCAAAACTCTCCTCAAAAGTCCGAGTAACGCGGGGGGCACACGCAACAAGTTGTAGGCATATATAGGCTATATAATAATAATAAATAATAATAATAGGAAGCAATGTTTATTCTTATTTCTATATTTCTAAGATAATAAGGTGCTGAATATCAAGTTCAGTTCAGCACAGATACGATCGGTATGCTAAAAAAACAGGTTTATAAATTGACACGTATTGATAACCAATGAATAATTGTTTAAGAAAAATTTGAATAACGACATTAAAAAGTCAGCATGCACACATAACTTTATGGGTGTATTTTCCTTTGTTCTCCTAGAGAAGAATTGGGCCAGAAGTTCGTTATTGATTTATCTTCGTGTGCAAGGTACTAGGTGGAGCCTAAAAACGAAAGTGGATTCGTCCAGCTCGATTGTAGAGATTTTTCTCTCCCTTCTTCGTAGAGTAAGTAGGGCAGAAGAAGATCTCTCGAATAAAAACATGGCGTACTGTACCTGGTGCTAGCCGAATAGAAAAAAAAAATCTTCGTTTTATTACCTCACTCGGCTATTAACAGAAGGCTATAACTATTTTCATGTTGGCGTTATTTTTAAATAGTAATGGCTCTTTATAGCTTTAGAATTATCAGGCTCCAACATTGACTTCAGACATTATTCTTATAAAAAATTAGTTTGGGAAACCCTATTGACGAGGAGGATCGTAGGATAACGTGTCATTGGTATTGTACAGTATCAAAGTCTTACGTGCTAAAATAATTGAATGTGATACTCCAATGTGTTTATTTTGTATCACTATTACAAACGATACTATTCTAATTTGGTATTTAACCTACATTACTTTAAACGTTCAAAAATTATATAAAAAATTCATTAACCTATTTAAAAGAGTTTTTTTTTTCCTCCAATTTTTTTCCCCAAAACTGCCATTCTTTAATAAGGATTGGAATCAAAGAATCGGTATAATTAAGATGATAGGTTTGATAGAATAATGTTTAAGTACGATTTGCATGACGGAATATCTTCCAGGAATGTTAACATTTCTAGTTTTAATGGTGCAAGGCATCTAATAAAAAGTTGCAAATTGTATTACGCAAATACTGTCAATAATAGTAGAATAAATAGAAGAAAAAAAAATAAGAGAAAAAATCATCATTTAAACAATGACTAACCTTGGAGTCATTTTCGGTTCTAATTTCTCTTTTTACGCCTCGGCATGCATTCAACAGCGTGGAAAATGGAAGTAGATAGTTAACTACCTGAGTAATTTAATTCATATTTATCACTTTTGTTTTTTATCAATTTTATTTACAGTTAAAACACATGATAAATGATGTATGTTGCTTTCGGACGGATTGATGGATAGCAATCAGTCGAAGCATCTTCCTGATAATAACTAAATATAACGATTGTAGTCATATAAATTGTCATTAAGGCAACGTGAAATGAAAGATTGTATCAAATTTTTAATGATTTTTCATAGAGAAAACGAAATAAGTCATACATTGAATCATTGAATCAGTATGAATCGGGAAAAGTCTTCTTTTTAAATAAAGAATTCAGTAGTGCGTTAACCTGTGGGCAAAAAAAGGGGCCCGAACCAATAATTGTTAAAGCTAACACTGTACTTGAGGCCCCTCATTCAAATTCTTCAGGGCCCCACGAAATTATAATGATTATTTTTGAATATGTTGAATAAAACTTAACTATTCAGTCATTGCAATTACCACTGGAGCATGAAATCTTTTGTTTGAATTCTTAAAATAATATAGTAAATGTAATTGAAACTACGATCATAAATATCTTTAAACTTTTATATGTAAGTATTTCTCATTAGGTCTATGACCATAAATTGTATGTATGTTAGTATATAAAGTCGACTACATTGTTAAATTCAGAAGGGCAGGGCCGAATGCATGGTTCAATAGTTTCAAACTACAACCTTAACATTTTTATGCTTTCTAAAAGTGAATGACTTGTTAAAAAAAAAGAAAATAATGTAATGTTTATCTATAAGAAAGTATCTAAATTAGGACAGAATATTTTTTAATAAGTATAATCGCTCGTAAAGATGGACTAAAAGAAGATATAAGCTTAAGGGTCTTATAATAATAATCGCTTTCGAAAATTGCTACTGTATAATCTTCTCTATAACCGGTTCTATTAACTATTAAATATGCTTTAGTTTGCAGCACGAATTCATAATAATAACAGTTATTCATTTCTCTAAAATTATTTATAATCAATCATTCTTATGTTAAGAAAAATGGTTGACAATGGGAGTGGTTTTCATTTGTAAATAGATTTATCAGTTAGTGAACTCGTTATATTTCTTAATTTAAGTTGTGGAAATTTAATTGAAATCATAGAAACAGTAATCCACTTGAAAAGTAATGAGAAAATAAAAAAATTAACATTAAAAATGGCGTTAAAACTTAAAGAAAGAAGCTTACAAATGTTAAGAATATCGGTCATTGAGTATTTCCGCATCAACAGAGGAAGGAGGGTTCTGGGACGTGCTATTGTCTTGCCGACTTAATTAACAATGTTCATTGTTATGATACTTGTAAGTAGGGTCATTACTGCCATCGAGATTTAACAATGAAAATCGTTTAGATTGATAATAGATAAATGACATTTATTTATTGTTATTTCAGTAGCTGGAAGCGTTTTTAAAAGACTTCATCCAGAAAATTGTGATTGCTCTCCGTCTTCATTATAACGAATAAAATACAGTTTTAGTGAATGGCTACAAATTTAAATAAAGAAAAATTCGGACACCCTTTTCAATCGATTCTGTCTGTATTATCCAGCTGGGCAATGGAGCAAAACTAACGTTAACCATGACCTCGATTTATTTGCCTTCTATTAATCCCTCTCGATAGCTTCAGAGCGAATCCTCAACTTTACTTTCCATCTTTTGTTTTTTTCCATTAGTTAAATTAGAAAAATTCAATAGTTTAACTCGATTATCTCAGTATTTAAATATTATAGAAGGCAGAAAAGAACTTAGAAAATATCATTGACATTAAGAAACACAGGATGATAATATAACTAAATAAATTTCTACTCGTAAAATTTATAAATAATTTTAATATTTATTTTAATTTCTTTCAAGAGGAAGTTTTAACGTTAAAAATTCTTTGTTTATAACGTAGAAATTCAACTATTCTTCTTCTTCTTCTTCTTCTTCTTCTTCTTCTTCTTCTTCTTCTTCTTCCTCCTTTTCTTTTTTAATGGTTTTCAATCGATTTTGTTCACCGAAACTACTTTTAATTAGCGTAAAAACAGAAATTTATTTCTTTTTTCTGACCTGATTTTCACAGACAGCAAACGTGACAAATAGTAAATCGCGTGTCATAAGACATTTAAATAAACTTGGTTGAGTTGATGTATATATTTTTTTTNGTCATAAATAAAGCAATTAAAATATGTCTGATCTATAAGATCATTCAAGTTTAATGCCCCTTTAGGTATTCTGCTATGCATTTTTTTTTCTTTCTTTCTTACATAAAAGATGAACAACTCGAAGCTTGCTCATTAATTTATACATAAAGCTTCTCTGTTATATTTTAGCACTTTTATTACATTTAAGTCTATTATATTTTACATTATAATGCATTTTACACCTTCATAAAGGTAAGAAGTAGGATTAAAAAGTAGTGGCTCGCTTCTCTGTTAAGAGCCATTAAAGCTAAGTTACTAAAACGAGTTCCACTATAAATAGAAGCTGTAAAAGATAAGAGTAAAAATGACAAAAATTAACGATTTTACAGCTAATTTTATCGTCCAGTCATTCATACCATTAATTTTTCTTCTTATTATGCAATCACCAGAGTCTAAACAGTTCTGGTAATTTGTATAATAATTGTAATGTATATATATATATATATTTTTTCCAAGTTTAGAAGTTGGAAAAAATCAGGATTCGCGAAGATTCTAACCAGTTTTCGATCCGGCTGACCTGTATTCTTATTAGGTCGATATCTCTACCATCGTTTGATGTTGTTATTTCTGTAGTAAGACATATCAATAAACTTATTTTGAGTTTAGTTATATAATAAAGGAAGTTGGACACGCATTGCATATAAAATTCACATGATCTTTCTCGAATTTATATACTAATAAAATAAATAAATAAATAAACCACACCCTTATATATAATTACAGTATGTTTCTTTTCTTCTTAACCTATCCTTAATGCTGGATAAGGTCTATTTATCAGTGTACTGTACATGTAAAATATGTAATTTCTTGTAACCCCACCTTGTAACGATCAAAAATGATCTTATAAATTGCATATTTCCTGATTGTAGAAAGGGGAAAAATGTTTTGTATTTATTTATTTATATATATAATGACTTGAAGGATATAAAAACTACTTAAAGAGCGCACATAGCAGAACGTACAAAATTCAAACAGGTTCTACCGAAATGAGAATAAAATGGATCATCTTCCGGAACGATAATAGGATAGCATNGTAGGATTAAAAAGTAGTGGCTCGCTTCTCTGTTAAGAGCCATTAAAGCTAAGTTACTAAAACGAGTTCCACTATAAATAGAAGCTGTAAAAGATAAGAGTAAAAATGACAAAAATTAACGATTTTATAGCTAATTTTATCGTCCAGTCATTCATACCATTAATTTTTCTTCTTATTATGCAATCACCAGAGTCTAAACAGTTCTGGTAATTTGTATAATAATTGTAATGTATATATATATATATATTTTTTCCAAGTTTAGAAGTTGGAAAAAATCAGGATTCGCGAAGATTCTAACCAGTTTTCGATCCGGCTGACCTGTATTCTTATTAGGTCGATATCTCTACCATCGTTTGATGTTGTTATTTCTGTAGTAAGACATATCAATAAACTTATTTTGAGTTTAGTTATATAATAAAGGAAGTTGGACACGCATTGCATATAAAATTCACATGATCTTTCTCGAATTTATATACTAATAAAATAAATAAATAAATAAACCACACCCTTATATATAATTACAGTATGTTTCTTTTCTTCTTAACCTATCCTTAATGCTGGATAAGGTCTATTTATCAGTGTACTGTACATGTAAAATATGTAATTTCTTGTAACCCCACCTTGTAACGATCAAAAATGATCTTATAAATTGCATATTTCCTGATTGTAGAAAGGGGAAAAATGTTTTGTATTTATTTATTTATATATATAATGACTTGAAGGATATAAAAACTACTTACTACATAACATTTGAAGTAAAGAAAATAAATTTTAATGCTTTACTAAGCTAAATTGATAATAAAATATAGGAATTTTGAAATATATTTTATCATTTTTTTTGCAAATTCATGATATTATAAACACTTTGTTTAAATGTTTTTCATATACTTTAATGTCTGTATGTAAAATCATTTTAGAAACTGTTATTAATTAATATTAATATCAATGATGAGTCTTTAATTGAGATAAAGTCATTCATATAGCAACTGAATAAACACCTTTTTTTTTTTTTAATTTATTATATACATAGTTAAATTATTTATAATTGATTAAAATCAGTTTAATAGATATAAAACAAAGTGTCAGAAGCCAAAAAAAAACCTAGTATTTCTTTCATAAATAAACTATTAAAACAAATTAATTGTTTAATTTTAGAATATTAATTATAAAAATAATTATGCAGTAGTCAGTAAAGCACACTTTAGAAATAAAAGTTGAAGGTTTTCAACTAAGTAGATCAATATCATGCCAGTCTGCTCTTGTCCAAGCTATCACCAACTGTATCTCAAGGTCTTACAAAATTTCAAATAAATTTTTTTTAAATTACTTTATCAAAAAATGTAAAATTATAGAATGTAGTATATCATAAAACTATTATCTTTTAAGGCAAATAACTTTTCTGGCAACTGTATGTAACTAAATTCAATTAGTAAGTTACACTACAGTTACATGAAGTAACTGTAGATGTATAGAACAGGAATTTAATCTTATATAATTAGTTAAAACAACTTGAAAATAAAGAGAAATTCTTAGAATCATACTGATTAGACCTAAATTAAAGCTAGGTCAAGTTTTTCCCCTTAGAGAATACTTAACATCAAGTCACAATTGTTCAATACTTTTCAAGTAAGTTAAACAATATAAACTATCATAAATAATCTGCAACAAAGAATCAAGGTTTGACATGTGAATGAACATTTAATTAAATCTCTAACATCTATAAAATTAAATAGATAAGTTAATTTAATAAAACTGCTTTCAAATTAACAAAATAGGTCAGAATATAATAACAGTTAATATTTAAAAAATATAATTTGTTATTTTTTATATATTTATTTGCATGATTAATAACAATAAATTATAATTTAATCATATTTAATGACATGTTTGAAAAAATTATATACCCATATGGTACTGTATAAATTATCAATGCTTTAAAAAAAAAACTTGTTGACCTTCTACTATAAAAATTCTTACAGGTTAAGTAGTTCTAAACAAACATTGTGATTTATATACATATTGATATATAGAAATTTATATATAAAATAATAAATAAATAGAATATTCTTAATTAAATTATGTCAAGATGAAGTTTGCATAGTTGTGTTAAGTTTTAATGTATTTAAATGATTTTTTGGGGGTTATAAAATTATGCCAAACTTCAAATAAAACTGGCCAGGTTGTGTTTTACATTTTAAATTCATTTATAAATTGATATTTCTTAAAACATTTTAATAAAATTAGCATATAAGACAAGAAAATCAAAGGTCAAGAATGAAGATTTGATAATTGTTTAATGGTAAGTGCTCATTTATAATTGGAAGTTTAATTTTTATACTGTGTTCTCCATTGATGCTCTCACTCCTGGTTTTAAGCCCTGGATTTATAAGCATAATTATTCATTTTATAACTATAATCACATCATTTTCTAGTTTTATATAAATAAAACTGTCATTTAGACCTTAGAAACAATATAAAATAATTTAGAACAGATGCCAAATGTAACATCCAGATAATTTTTTACATATGATTTTTTAACATCAAAATGTCCAGCGTATGTTAATTTTAATATATGATCGCTCAAGCATTATATCAATTAATGCAATTAAAACTTTAAGAAAAAAAAAATATATATATATTAATCGTCTTTCACACATAGTTAAATAACTTAAAACCATGTAAACCAATTGTTCTGTCATCATCAATATAAAATTTATAGAGCGTTTCTATTTTAAAAATCAATGCTAGAAAATTACTTTAAATCAAAAATTTTAGAAATTCAATTTGTTATGCAAATTAAAGTGAATAATTTTTTAAGTTTAAATATATTAGAATCTTACCTATTGGCTAATTCTTCTGTGGCTCCTTCGAACAATTCTCGAACTCTTTCCAAGCTAACAGCTCTAGGATATGTCATTGTAAATCTTTGATGTCTGGCTACAGCAGGGTGCAAACTCGGATTGACAACCCTGCCTTAAATATACAAATAATAGGCTAAATTAATTTCTTCTTAATGATTTTCTCTTATCTTAAACTAATCTACCGTTTGAGTCAAAAAAAATAATATCTATTTATACATAAATTAACAGCGTGTTTTGCTATCAACACTTAACTTGATTAACTTAAGTACAATAATTACTATTAATTAATTATAATTAACCACAGTTTTTCAATTAAAAAACACGTTGTAAAACGTTTGCTAATTTAAACGTTTACTCGATTAATTATTTCATAAACTGTCTCAAAATAGTTACATGACTTTAAAAAAAATGGCAGCCTTATGACAAGATAACGAGCAATAGAAAGAACAGGAGAAAAAAAATCGAAAACACGGGTTTTTTTTATGTTTAAACTTGTCTATTTTTTTTTTTTTGTTTCTTCGTTGATCATTAACTTTTCATGTACCATCACAGACCAGCAGATACAGTGACCGATTGCAATACAAGTAAACATAACAAATGAATTGTAGCATCGTTAATTAGTCGTATCTGCATAGAGTTTGTTTCTTAATTACCCTTATCCTTTTTTAAAGAAAAGATCAACAACCGAATAGGACAAAAGTAGATAGGATATTTTTCCTTACCTTGCGTTGTTAGAGTTTTCTCATGCTGTCTCTTGTGAAGAATTTTCTGTTTCGCTCTAATAAAAGCCCTATTCATCGCCGTCCGGGATATGAAGGGTACAGTATTTGAATCGAAATTATAGAAACTGGATGTAAATTGTGCATCCACATTGACGTAATTAAGTAAGGTTAATAGAAAACACAAGGGAAATATCACCCATCTAAAAAAATGAAATTTATAGAAATGGCAAGAGGATGATCAAGGTCGGGATCAATCAGATAGAAATTTTATCCATCTTGTGTTACTCACCTGAAGATCTTACTATCGGGTGATTTCATATTTTATCCATATATCCGCACAATACTTGTAAATGGTAATGTGAGCATTTGTAAATGAGGTTAGATGCTTATATAGTCGGTTAACGGTAAAGGGATGTGGGCAGACATTTTTGATACAACACACAAGGCGATTGGTTAACGGTACCGTTTCTGCGATTGCGTGAACTACTTTTGGTGGCTGTATTAAACGTTTTGCTGTATCACTTCCCTCTTCATGCACTTACATGATAATCACTCATCTGTAACTGAAGAAAAGTACAAAATCTTCAGATTGAAAAAATAATAATGGCGACCCCGAGGGAAGTTTTCAAGGTTCGATGTGTTCAATACGATTTTATTTTAAAAAAATAATTATAAAACATTAATGCAGTTACTTACATTTTGAGCGTGGGTATAAACTAATTATTACCAATTTATTCAATGGCGCGTAATAGATTAAGGTGGGCCCCCCAAACAAACTTAAATTAGGGGGCTCATATTCTCTTCGAGAGAATTTTTGGGGGAATCTTCCAATATTTTTTAACACAATCTCTGCTGGGTTAAATCCTGCGTTATCAGATATGGCCCAAATTTATATTTCGATATTCTTTATTACAATAATGAATTTATAAGAGATTGGTTTGGGGCCTCCTGTTGGTGAAGGCCAATAGGATAATGAATTTACTTTTAAATTAACTTAAATACGTTTTTCTTTATTAATAAAAAAGCAAAAAAATTGTAAATTTCTCACACTATTCACTACATTTTTACACTAAAACGGTCTACGTAATACACTAAAATAAACACCTTTTGTCTTATTATGTTAAGGTAACGCCTACTTACCTCAATAATTTAATTACAATAAATAATACTATTTACTTCTTATAGAAACAATCAGAAAAAAAAAAACAGTAATTGTGATGAATTTAACACACAGGACTTAATTATTCTATTCCTTTCACATAATATATTAATACGCTCGAAGTTTATGCCTTTCTACGATTAATTTTTATATAGGCCTATTACACAATAGTTTTTAAATAGTATTAATAACAGAAAAATGGTTAAATTATACAGATTTTATATATTTTACTTCGAATTATTTATGTAAATTAATATATAAAAATAAAACACTAGTAGCAACTATTCATTTGTACCAGAAACGAACACGTGTTCTTCTAGCGTTAATAAAAATGCTATAATTATAAATAATTTGGTAATTGAAAAGGTATCAGCATTTATTCGCTTCATTTTACTTCTTCTTATCTATATAAATGTATTTATTATAACAATTTTTTTTTTAAACGTTCGAGGTACATTTTGTGATAAATTTTTATGGTCTTATTATATCTGATATTACTATATAAGTTACTAAACAGTAATAATAACAATACAATAATTAAAATTTAAAGATAACTGAAAGGTATAGGCCTAAGTATTAATTGACATTTCTTATCATTGTGTTACAACAGTTCGAAGATTGTAGACCTTCTTCACTAACCTAATTGCTCCAGTGTGTAATTCTTATCTATATATAATTGAATAAAAGTTTAATAAACTGCTTATTTCTTGGAAAAAAATATCCAATAAATAACAATGTAATTCCCAATAAATTGTATTTAAAGACATTCACGCCAAATAGAAAATTCTGATTTATTTATTGTTTTATGAAGTAAATCCAGATTTGTTCTATTTACAGTTTAGAATTTTGAAAATTTTTTAATACAAAAACCAAAAAAAAAGTGTTGTTATTAATGTTATATATAATAAAAACTACGATTATTAAGATCTTGGCGCGTATATGACACGTAATTTCAACTGTGTTTTTCCTGTTAGATAAGCCTTTAAAAATAGTATAATTTTTATCTAAAATTACGGTGAATCTTCGGAATTTTTGGTATAGCAAGTGCGGATATATTTGTTTTTGTTTTTTGTTTTTTTAAAATATAAAACTTTATTTTATATTTTTTCAGCTTCAATAACTGCTGATTCAAATAATGGGTACATTGCACTGAAGATCTCTATATTTGTTAAACGAACATGAGCGTGTCTTGTAATCAGATATCGAAAATATAATGTGTAATTTACAAATCTTTCCGTTGTTTATGATGATATTGTCCCAATTAGGCTCTTTTCATAATATTAAAAACATTTTAACTAGCGCAAGAAGAATTTATAGCAGCGAGATTCTATTGAATGTGTGCCATATTCTAACGTAAGACTCAGTGGCGTGTTAGAGTTTCATGGGCCCAGGTGAATTTGAGTTAAGTACAGTGTTTGTTGAGTTTCTTGTACAGTGTTGACTTCAGACATTTTTCTTCGGGGAAGGTTTTAGAAGAAAGATTTTATTGTTTAGGACCCCGTATTGGTGGAGGCCCCCCTTTTTGTTCATAGGTTAATGCGCCACAAACAAGACTGTTAAGGTAAAGGATTCTATACAGTTAAACACTAAATTTGGCATGGATATTCTTCGAAAAATACTCTGGTGGTTCCCCCAAAACTCTCCTCAAAAGTCCGAGTAACGCGGGGGCACACGCAACAAGTTGTAGGCATATATAGGCTATATAATAATAATAAATAATAATAATAGGAAGCAATGTTTATTCTTATTTCTATATTTCTAAGATAATAAGGTGCTGAATATCAAGTTCAGTTCAGCACAGATACGATCGGTATGCTAAAAAAACAGGTTTATAAATTGACACGTATTGATAACCAATGAATAATTGTTTAAGAAAAATTTGAATAACGACATTAAAAAGTCAGCATGCACACATAACTTTATGGGTGTATTTTCCTTTGTTCTCCTAGAGAAGAATTGGGCCAGAAGTTCGTTATTGATTTATCTTCGTGTGCAAGGTACTAGGTGGAGCCTAAAAACGAAAGTGGATTCGTCCAGCTCGATTGTAGAGATTTTTCTCTCCCTTCTTCGTAGAGTAAGTAGGGCAGAAGAAGATCTCTCGAATAAAAACATGGCGTACTGTACCTGGTGCTAGCCGAATAGAAAAAAAAAATCTTCGTTTTATTACCTCACTCGGCTATTAACAGAAGGCTATAACTATTTTCATGTTGGCGTTATTTTTAAATAGTAATGGCTCTTTATAGCTTTAGAATTATCAGGCTCCAACATTGACTTCAGACATTATTCTTATAAAAAATTAGTTTGGGAAACCCTATTGATGAGGAGGATCATAAGATAACGTGTCACTGGTACTGTACAGTATCAAAGTCTTACGTGCTAAAATAATTGAATGTGATACTCCAATGTGTTTATTTTGTATCACTATTACAAACGATACTATTCTAATTTGGTATTTAACCTACATTACTTTAAACGTTCAAAAATTATATAAAAAATTCATTAACCTATTTAAAAGAGTTTTTTTTTCCTCCAATTTTTTTTCCCCAAAACTGCCATTCTTTAATAAGGATTGGAATCAAAGAATCGGTATAATTAAGATGATAGGTTTGATAGAATAATGTTTAAGTACGATTTGCATGACGGAATATCTTCCAGGAATGTTAACATTTCTAGTTTTAATGGTGCAAGGCATCTAATAAAAAGTTGCAAATTGTATTACGCAAATACTGTCAATAATAGTAGAATAAATAGAAGAAAAAAAAATAAGAGAAAAAATCATCATTTAAACAATGACTAACCTTGGAGTCATTTTCGGTTCTAATTTCTCTTTTTACGCCTCGGCATGCATTCAACAGCGTGGAAAATGGAAGTAGATAGTTAACTACCTGAGTAATTTAATTCATATTTATCACTTTTGTTTTTTATCAATTTTATTTACAGTTAAAACACATGATAAATGATGTATGTTGCTTTCGGACGGATTGATGGATAGCAATCAGTCGAAGCATCTTCCTGATAATAACTAAATATAACGATTGTAGTCATATAAATTGTCATTAAGGCAACGTGAAATGAAAGATTGTATCAAATTTTTAATGATTTTTCATAGAGAAAACGAAATAAGTCATACATTGAATCATTGAATCAGTATGAATCGGGAAAAGTCTTCTTTTTAAATAAAGAATTCAGTAGTGCGTTAACCTGTGGGCAAAAAAAGGGGCCCGAACCAATAATTGTTAAAGCTAACACTGTACTTGAGGCCCCTCATTCAAATTCTTCAGGGCCCCACGAAATTATAATGATTATTTTTGAATATGTTGAATAAAACTTAACTATTCAGTCATTGCAATTACCACTGGAGCATGAAATCTTTTGTTTGAATTCTTAAAATAATATAGTAAATGTAATTGAAACTACGATCATAAATATCTTTAAACTTTTATATGTAAGTATTTCTCATTAGGTCTATGACCATAAATTGTATGTATGTTAGTATATAAAGTCGACTACATTGTTAAATTCAGAAGGGCAGGGCCGAATGCATGGTTCAATAGTTTCAAACTACAACCTTAACATTTTTATGCTTTCTAAAAGTGAATGACTTGTTAAAAAAAAAGAAAATAATGTAATGTTTATCTATAAGAAAGTATCTAAATTAGGACAGAATATTTTTTAATAAGTATAATCGCTCGTAAAGATGGACTAAAAGAAGATATAAGCTTAAGGGTCTTATAATAATAATCGCTTTCGAAAATTGCTACTGTATAATCTTCTCTATAACCGGTTCTATTAACTATTAAATATGCTTTAGTTTGCAGCACGAATTCATAATAATAACAGTTATTCATTTCTCTAAAATTATTTATAATCAATCATTCTTATGTTAAGAAAAATGGTTGACAATGGGAGTGGTTTTCATTTGTAAATAGATTTATCAGTTAGTGAACTCGTTATATTTCTTAATTTAAGTTGTGGAAATTTAATTGAAATCATAGAAACAGTAATCCACTTGAAAAGTAATGAGAAAATAAAAAAATTAACATTAAAAATGGCGTTAAAACTTAAAGAAAGAAGCTTACAAATGTTAAGAATATCGGTCATTGAGTATTTCCGCATCAACAGAGGAAGGAGGGTTCTGGGACGTGCTATTGTCTTGCCGACTTAATTAACAATGTTCATTGT